CGCCATTACGTACTGGTTGTTTGTTACCGTATTAACAACTAAGATCTGACCGCTTATCGAGGTGTAGCCAGAAACATAAAGCGTCCGCCCCAGAGCGGAAGGTCGCGGGTTCGATCATACCAGTCATACCAAAAGACGTTAAAATATGGTAATTTCTGTTGGTCCCTGCCTGGCGCTCGGCCTTAATGGGTACAACAAAGGTGACTGGTTGGTTCCGAGTCAGTATAATGTGTCTGAGCGGGTATTCATGCTTCACTGCGGCATGGTATCCCCAGTGGGCTAGCACTATAAAACCAGCTTTCGGAAGTCTGGCTGCACAAGGTGTTACAGCCGCGCATAATATTATTGACACGCATGCACGTCGTCATATGAGCGAAATATCTCCGGCACGACGTTAAACCCCATATCACCTCACCCTTCACCACTCAATGTTCCAACGTTTTCCAACCGGTCGCGCTTTGTAGGCTGTCACGCGTTTATTTTCCTGCAATGTTATATCTTCTGCACATTTTGTGCTGTCTGCATATGTAATGGGCGTTTAATAGTCCGCTTTACTCCAGCTTCAAATAAAATATGCTTCTTCCTCACGCTCCAGATAGGAAGTAAATGTTGAACCCGGATGTCGAATAACCCGGTGAGCAGAAAACAGCCCAGCAACATTCCTAAAGTATCACGTGGTACACGTTGGTTGTCAAATTAACAAACCCTCACTTCCACAGAATGACAGTTCATGATAAGTATTGCTGTAGCTCTTCAACAAAACGTGACTGCTAATGGTATAGCGCATTACGAAATCATAGCGACCCGGTGAAATGACCCGACACCTCGTACTCTGACATGGTCAGTCCTGGGAGGCGTGAAGCCAAGCGCCAAAGAAGAAGAACATCCCAGCCATACAATGGAGACCTGCAAATAATCGAGCATGCCAGCCAGTGGTCAATAGCATGACCACACAAAATCTCTATCCCTCATCTTTGAAGTGGATGCAAATAGGACAAATCTTGCGGGGGTAGCTTTCGTGCAGCCATTGGTGAAGCGGAGCAATCTTGCAGGCGGCGGAATAGCTTCGATTGGCAGTGAAATAACTGGTTGTGCAGTGGAGCAGCTGGCGGGTAGTGGAGTAGCTGGTGAGGTGAAAGTGGAGTAGCTGGCGGGGTAGTGGAGAAGCGGGCAAGGGTAGCGGAGCAGTTAACAGAGTGGCGGAGTAGCTGGCAGAGCGCCAGGGGAGCACCTGGCTACGTAGGCAGTGGAGCAGCTGGAGGGCAGCGGAGCAGCAGGCAGGGTAATTTGAGCAGTTTTAACAGAGTGGTGGAGCAGCTACGGGGTAGTGGAGCAATCTGGTTGCAGTGGAAAATAACTGGTTAGGCAGTGGAGCAGCAGGCGGCAATAGCGGAGCAGCTGACGGGTAGCGGAGCAGTCAAGGCAGATGGGTTGAAAGCAGCCATAAGATGGGGAAGCAGCTGGCTGCTAATGCAGGCAGCGGAGCAGCTGGCGGCAGTGGAGCAGCTGGTGAGGCAGTGCAGCAGCTGGCGGGCAGTTGAGCAGCGGGCAGGGTAGCGGAGAAGTTAACAGAGTGGCGTGAGCAGCTGGCAGAGCGGGGAGCAATCTGGCCGCTACGCAGTAGTGGAGCAGCTGGAGGGCGGAGCAGCAGGCAGGGTGCATTGGAGCAGTTAACAAGAAACGGTGAGAGGCTGGGGCAGTGGTAGCATCCGGCCCGGCAGTGGAATAACTGGTTGGTGGTGGTAGTGGAGTACCTTGCGGGTAGTGGGAGTAATCTGGCTGCAGAAAAGGGAGTAGATGGCAGAGTGGCTGAGCAGGTGGCAGAGTGGGGAGAAGCCATTAAGCATGTATGTAGTGGTGCCGCTGGTGGGTAAATGGAATAACTGGTGAGGTAGTGGAGCAGCCGTGGCGGGCAGTGGAGCAGTGGGCTGGGTAGTTGAGTAGATGGCTAGGTGGCGTGAGCAGCTGGTTAGGCAGTGGAATAACTGGTTAGGTGAAAGTGGAGTAGCCGGCAGGAGTGATGGAGCAGCTGGCCAGGTAGTCAAAGTCAAGCCGAAGAGGTTTTATTTCACAGGCCAAAGCAGCCTTCCGCCCATACATTGGAGCATAAGGGCTATTACATTATGGCCATATGGTGCAATAAGTAGTAATTAGTGATCCAAAACTGCAAATCCGCGTACAAGTAGTGAAATAATGATGGACCTACATAACTTTTATCAGGACAGTTATGTTTTATCAAGAGCATAATTCGATATTAGTGGGGCGGCCAGCCTTTAGTTATTACGCTGGTCAGTTGATGAAAGGCGAAGCGGAATGTTAATGTAGGTAGCTTTATATAGATAAATATTCCAGCTATATATTTCGTACGCAAATCTTTATACAAAGGGACATGTAAGTCAAAATGGATTTCATTTCCACATCTATATTACACAGTGGGCACACTCTCTGCATCGGGTTCAATATAAAAACGCCCTCCTTCGTTTCACTACATTATGTTGGATCAAACGTAACCTAAAACGTAAGCAAATGGGTATCTTTAATTTCTTTGATGTTAAAAAAATCTATTAGATATTTCCTCCGGCTGAGTAGTGGATTTGTATATTCTATAAGAGTCGCAAAATTTCGTGAACTATTATGTATTATTGAATACCATTCTTGATTAAAACATATTAAGACTTCTTTCTCGAAACTGAGTTAAAAACAAACTTGGATCACCAACTGACTGACTTAACCATACAAAAACCATAACCATGCGTGAAAACAGAAGATTTCTTTACATGAGATGCCTATCGTCACTTTTACCAATATTGTCCAAATAAACAAGCGTTACGCTATAAGCCTTTGGGTAAATCTATGTTGTTGCATTCACAATATCTTAAACCAGAGATTTAAGTACATCGAATATGAGCATTTATATACAGGGGATACCTCCCACATCCACCGTACACACGCATACAATTGGGTGTTGAGGGTCCTACATTTAAAAATTTTACTTACAGGCCATCAGATGTATTTTTCTATGCATTCATACATCTGGAATCCCCTAAATCCTCGGATCCATACAAAAAGAATAGGCCGAATTTGACAATCAAATAGTTTAAAGTAAATACTGGGCGTCCAACACCAATTTTACACAAGGCAGAGATAAAAGACTTATCAATGCTTCTTTAGCTGATGTTTTTCCAGTTCAAAGCAGATGTAAAAGCTAATACTCAAGATAAGTGTAATAACTGTGAGACAATTACAAGGTTGGTCATTAAAGAGCACCTTTCTTTAGAAGATATCCGGCCACCTTTTCTAAATATAACAATATTAGTTTTATTGGAATAACTGGTTAGGTAGTGGAGTAGCTGGCAGGAGTGATGTGGAGTAAGCAGGTATTGGGGTGGATTAGTGGAAGTGCCTTGCGGAGCGGTGGAGCATCTGGCTGGGTAGTGGAGCAGATGGCAGAGTGATGGAGCAGCTGGCAGAGTTGTGGAAAATAACACTGGCTGGGGGTAGTGGAGGATCGCTGGCCAGTTAATAGTGGAGTAAGCTGGCAGAGCTACTCTGAGTAGCTTAGGATTGGGTGAAGGGTGGGGTGGGGGGTGTAATTGTAAGTGAGGTGAAAGCTGGCTGTGTGGTAGAGGTGGCTGGCTGGGGCTGGGTGGAGTGGCTGGACCAGACAATCCAGTGCGATCCAACGTAGTATGAAAATCACCCATCTCATATAGGACACGATGTTGAGCACGTAATCCAGCCAAGTCAGCAGGCCCTGACCAGCTAGTCCCGCTTAGACACTGCTTACAACAAGCATGTGTCACTGAGAGACCAACCTCTAAACTGGATCTTCACGGGTAGGGTTAAAAGTAGTCAGCTTGAACCTAGTGTGCGTTGTAGGGAGTACATGAACAACCATTGAAGTGATGAACTTCTTTTCTCATTTTATCAATCCATTTCTAGAAGGTCAATGGAGGTCCTTTTCCATTCTACCTAAATCCAGGTTTCCATGAATAATGTAAACATGCATTCTTAGCAACCAAATATCAATTCGTGAAAAATATTGGAATCGTAAAAACTATAAACAGCAGAGTGACGTCATAGATGTGATCCTAATTATATCACAATGAGTATACAACACGCGTTTCGCTGAGTAGATTGATTGTCTAGTTGAATAGTCGTGTAGGTGCGTGCTGTTGCTTGGTGAGTACAGTGAGGTGAGTTTAGTTTTACGCAGTTACTCCAGCAATGAGTCCAGCCATATGGCGAAAATCTGTAAATAATCGAGTCTGGTCCAATCATGAGTGATCAACAGCATGAGCATCGAGCTGCGCAATTTCCGGACCGGATGCATAATGTCAATCCAAGCCAGCGAGCCTTGACCAATCTGATCGATGGGCAGATTTCCTGGGCAAGCGCTGGAGTTACTGAAGATCAATATTTTCCTGTCCCGGACCTTCAATAGGTTGCAAATGTTAGTGGCATGTATGGGTGCTTTGGTGGTTGCTGACGCCGCCCAGGGGTGTCACCTTAAACATCCGGCATTTCCTTTGAGGGATTGCGCGGCCGATATTACAGCACGGTCGGGAGTCTTGGGAAAATACGCCTTCCCATTTCAGAATCGTGCACGCGAGAACGGAATTCTTATGACTATCCGGAGTCGATTCCTGCAGGCATCAAGTTAATGTTTTCGTTAGTCCGTACATGTGCGTGCGCTTGCTCTGCGGTATTAGGGCGAATATAGGGTTTATATCCTGGCTGTATCCGGGTTTAGTGAGTATAATAAGCGCTCGCTATCTCACTCAAAACGTGACTCACACACGGGCTACCGCATTGTGAAAGCGGGTTTCCGTGCTGCATGCATTGTTGTGTGTGGATTGATGGTTCTACATTCGTACTGAAATCCCTGTATCGCTGTGGGATAGCCTGGTCTCGCCAGGCGGTCTAACAGGTATTGTCGCTAAGGTCTACCCATACAACCTGTGCATTTGTGAGTTTTCCATCAAACACAAGAGGCTAGATATTCAAAGACTTCCGTCACTAGCTGTGTAATTTTACATTGATATAAACGCAATAAATATTCATAGCTCCGATATTTATTCAAGTATCGGTTGTTGGGCAGCCCGGCATAGCGTTCGCTCGTCACACCGAAGACCCGGGTTCGATGTCTCCAAATGCGATACAATGCGAAGGGATACTTCTGGTGTTCCCCTGCGGGATATTGCCGGAATATTGCTAAAAGCGGTATAAAACAATACTTTATGTCATTATTCAAGCATCAAAAATACATTCTTTGCAATTGAAAAATATTTTAACTTTATTGAAATCTGGGTAAGAAGACGTATATGTGGAGCAATAGTGTTACGAATCGGCGCACTTCCAATATATAAAAATACCGGTAGATTTGATGGCACCAAAGACTTTGTAATATATGTAATGGGATAACCCTGCAGAAAAATGACTTTTCTATTTGAATGTAAAAGTTTTGTCGTTGATTTGCGCTCAAGTATTTTAGCTACTACTTATATTACTTTGATCAGTAAATATTTTAAATACATTTATCATGTACCCAATTCCTCTCAACAACAACAAAATCTGTTCAATTATCTTATATAGTATCATTCATTGTGTTCTTTATACATATCAATGTGTTTTATTTTGTATTGCACGGGCCTAAGGCT